TTTTTTATTTTTTTTTACTATTTTCTGGGAGAGTTTGCATGACATTATTCTTTCCATAAGTATTTAAAGGAATTTCATAACACTGTTTTTGTTGTTAATTACATGATTTATTACATCTAAAGCATATAGGAAGTACCTGGCAATGAATAAATGGTATAAAATGCTAACTATCCATTCTCCCCGTGTAAATCACCACATTAAAATGCCGGAAGAGCAGGCTTTATACAAAGAGACCTCCATAAAGAAGCAATGTGCTTTATGCCATTCTTTAAGTGGAACCTGTCAACATTGATCCAATTATCCACTGGTACTCGTAACATTTTCAGAGGACACTCTATTTTGATTTCCTAACCATTTTACTACTATAAAAGTTAGACTAATACTACACAAAAGAGAGGTGGGTTTTGACAAGGGTGGTTTTAAATGATACAGATCATCCCATCTTGTACTAATGAAGAGTGTTTTGTTGTCAATAGGTATACACTGAGTTCATGACATCTAATTATTTTTTCCTTAACAATTCCATGCCCCTTCTTTCATTGTGAGTCGCTGTGCTCTCTCCCTGCTCTCCTTCTAGTGGAATTTTTCAAGGGTTACCGCCAGGCTGCCTCCATTTTCCTAGGGCTACTAATTTCTCAGCCCAAATCTGGTTTCCTTTTTTTACCATTCAACTGAAATGACTCATCACCACGGTCTCCACAAGTTGCCATGCTGTTAACTAAAGGTCATTCTTCTGTCCTCAGCTGACGTGATCTCAGTGGTAGTTAGCACTATAGACTAAAAAACACCTGTTTTCTTGGAATACACTCCACCAGTTGAATTCTATGACAGTGTATGCTTACTGCTTTTTCTCTTGTTTAATATTTCTATTTAGTCTAGGTGGACTCACCTTTATAGGACTTTTTTGAGTATTGGGTCAATTTCTCAAAGCGTGGGACTTCAATCATTTCTATGAATGTTGTCCCTTAAGCATATATATTGGCACCTCTTTGAGATCCCCTTTTGAAGCCTCATCAGCTACCTCAAATTCAACATCTTCTAAAACCAGGTTCATGCTGTTCCTTTCATGGCTGCTCCTAGAATTCTCTCTTAGCACATACCACCTTCCCAGACCCAACAATGACCAGACTGAGTGCCATCTTTGTTCTACTATTTCCCTCACCCCATAGTCAAGCAACTGATAAGCTCTGCTCATTTTTTCTCCTACCCATCTCACAATTTCAGAATTTCACTTGTATTTTTTCCCATTGATACTATTTGAAGGCCCATCAATTTATCAAGACTTCAAGTTGGCTCTTCCGTGAACATTCATAATTGCTAGTCTACCCACTGCAGTCAGAATATTCTTTTTCAAACTTGAATCTACAAACATCATGCCCCTTTTGAAAGGTATCTGTTTCACGTCTGCTTTTACCAAGGGAATGTAGTCTGTTTTGTTCAGGTAGGTCATCAGTATTCAGTATATGTTCACCAAGTGATAAATGACAAGAAAAAGAATCAGAAAGTTTTAGAGATTTTTTGTTTTTGTTTTGTTTTTTTTTACCATGCACAAATATATTTTCCTGTGATATATAGGTAACAATGACTTCACCAATATAAGACATCATTTAAATGTTTATAGTGGGCATGCCAGAGCTTTAAATAGTATCACACAATATAAGCTATGCACTAAATGCAAGAAATTACTTCCTCTGATCGACCATGCTAATCTACCCAGATCAGCCGTCTGTATACATGAAAAGGGCAGAGAAGAAAAGTCGACTATGACTCAATCAATTAATCATGTATTTCCTGAGTGTCTATTAGGTGCCAGACAGGGTGCTCCATCAGTAGAGGACAGCTGGGGTCAAAAGCCTCTGGTAACTACGAGCTATAGCAGAATACGGCAAATGCCAGAAAGATATAGAAGATGTGAGGGAACAAGAGAGAAGGGTGGAATGTAATTCAGACAAGGATGTTAGAGAAAGTCTATTTGGGGCAGGAAACTTTTGAAACTTTTAAAGAAGGGTAGAATTCAGGCACCTGGGTGTCTCAGTTGGTGACTCTTGATAACGATTCAGGTCACAATCTCACAGTTGTGACATCAGGCCTTGTGTCGGGCTCCTCACTCAGCATAGAGCCTGCTTGGGATTCTCTACCCGCCCCGCACCCCCCCTTCTTCCCCGCTCATGCTCTCTCTCTTTCAAAATAAACAAGCATTTATTTATTTATTTTTATTGTTTATTTATTTTTGAGACAGAGAGAGACAGAGCATGAATGGGGGAGGGTCAGAGAGAGGGAGACACAGAATCCGAAACAGGCTCCAGGTTCTGATCTGTCAGCACAGAGCCCGACGCGGGGCTCGAGCTCACGGACCATGAGATCATGACCTGAGCCGAAGTCGGCCGCTTAACCGACTGAGCCACCCAGGCGCCCCAACAAGCATTTAAAAAAACATAAAGGAAGGTAGAATTTCAGAAACCTGAAAGTATTCCTGGTGAAAAGAACAGTCGGAATGAGGTTTAATCTGGCATAATGTAATCGCCGTGACTCGTGAGAGGTTATGGAGGCCTTGGCTTAGGGGGTGGTGATCAGAAATGGACAAGATAACATGACAGTCAACACTGGATCTACAAATTTGTGGGTTGGGAAGTGTGGGAAATAACATAAGTAACAACAAATGGGATGCCCAGAGTCTCCCAGCCCAGAAGATGCCAGTGCCAGTAAGGGAAATAAGGAAACGAGAGGGAGACTATGACATCAGGAGTCCTGAACACATCAAGGGAGCAATAATGGAGTTTCTGACCCACCGAGGGATAGACGCCTTTAAGACACCCAGGCAGGGCTGGAAACAGGAGCGTGAGGTCTGAGAAGAGAACCAGGAGAGCTTGGCTAAACTTCAACATTCCTACTAAATTATCTTTAATGATGGTACTGTGAATCCACAATCCATAAATTTTATATAAAGCATTCTGGAATCTTTCATCCGAGTTTGATTACTTGTACAAGTCTTCACATTCCCCTTACAACTAACATTTTTAACCTTCAAAGCCTCCTTAATCAATTAACACTTGTTTTCCATTGACAGTTTATTAAAGGTTGATTCGGTCCCGAATCCCAGCTGCTGTCTGCATCCTAAACTTAACGCTCCGAATTCCTGTTGGGTGACAGAGGGAGGAAGAGTCGCTAATGATGGCTCCTTGTTGGACAAATTATTTCATTTTGAAATTGCATAGCCGAAGAACAACAATAAAGTATCAGTGCTACTTTTAAAAATAAATAAGGGGTTATTTTGCTTGCTGAAAGTTTTCATTCGAATGACTGATCAGATCTCACGTGTCTGTTTAAAAATGTCTGACTTAGGTCGTTACAAAATGACAGACTATGATAAACTACATGATAGTCGGGAGTGAGACAATGAGGCATTGTTTACACAGAAGATTGAGTAACTGGTTTCACAAAAGAGGTTCTTGGATATCTATTGTATGTACAACTAAGAGATTTACTGGAGCTTTTATAATTTCTGCAAGGCTCTTTTCCAACCAGCTTCATTAACTTGAAGCAAATCAAATCATGCAGAAATCTGGCTCAGCCAGAAAGAAACCCAGGAAGATATAATATGAAGACAAACAGACACGGGATGATAAGGTTTAGAATCTTTGGCATTTTTCATAAACATTTTGTTTGAAGATTATTAAATTACAACCCAGAGAGGAAAAAAAAATAGCAAAACTCACTATTAAATCTGTTTTTTTTACCTCAACTTTTCTTTACAATACATATATATATATATATATATATATATATATATATATATAAAACTGCATAAAGTATGTGTCAACTAAATACGGTCTTTACAACTTAAATATCATTTGAACATAAAGATATTGGCATACATTTTATATATGCACAAAATCGGGGTTTTTACCTGGGGGGTACTATGAAATGGGGGCTGTAGGCATCAGATACTATGCACGATTTGGGGATGATGCTTTTCTAGGAACGCGGTTCTGAGATATAGATGTATTACATGCAGATTATTTTGCTCAGGAACGAAAGATCATTTTGGACTGCTGCCTTATTTTTACTTTCTGCCCCCAAATGCGGGCGAATGAAGGGATTACGACAATCAGGTGAGCGGTCCACCTTCATTCGTTAGTCCCTTGCTCCCCAGCCTTTACCTTTCTTTCTAAATACTTTCAGAATTCATTCATTCATCCCCCACGTCCTGAAGCTATAATATTGACATTTTATTTTGGAAATAAAGCGAAGTCAAGTCAGAAGAAATGGCGTTTTTAAGGCAACCAAATACTCTCCCTGAAACCTTCGCTTTTTGGACAAGTGGTCCCTTTCGACTTTCCGGGGCCTTCCATCGCCAGCAATGGACGGTGAAAGAGGCTGGCATCCAGCGCCGAGGTGTTGACCACAATTTTCCATACGGGTCTTCAGTAATCCCGGCTGAAAGACTCCCAAAGACTTGAGCTGATCTGGGTCATTATTTAAAAATCTATGCATGATATATACTATGTGGGGAGACAATGGCTACCAGGGATTTGCTAACTCGGAGAAACCGACTGCCTCACGTGAACAACAATCTGAAAGGGGTGTGCACACGGGAGTGGACATGACCAGATCTTCAGGAGAATCTGGTGGAGGTACCATAACAAGTTCAAAGTCCGTCTTGAATCCAGGTGGACTCCCGGCCGTTTTCAAGGAGGCTGTTGAGACCCCTGACAGCCTTACGTTACTTTCTATGGGAGAAGGGACATCAGTCTTTCACGGTCTCTGGCTTGTTTCCTTGCGAGGGGCCGACCTGCTACGCAACCAGCACACCCGTGTGCGTGGACGTGCGCACACGTGTGCAATCGGTGCCGGTGGAGAAGCGGGGAGAAGAGGGGGAGGGCTCCACACAGCACATGTTTTGGAAAGACACCGTGGGGACCACCGGTGGAACAGAGACATCACGGGTCTCATCGACCCCACAGGGAATCGGGTGCCAGTGGCCAGAGTTGGCGCGTGTCCTAGACGCCACTGCGCTTCTTCCGAAGGGGGCTGTGGCTGCTGCAGGGTCTCAGTTCAGCGTACTGCACCTGTGAAAACAAACAGACGGGACGCCGGCGGTTAGGTAACCCTAGCTCGCCACAGTGCGTGTTAATGGCTCCCCAAGGACAAACCGAGGCAAAGGAAGGAAGGTTCAAAGGTAATGAATCATTTTCTAAACACAGGAACATGAAGGGATTAATTGCAGGAAGGATTTGAGAAGTCATGCATCATTTCTTGAAACCAAAATATTAAAAGCAGATTTTTCTAATGAGATGCCTGGGTTTCTACCTGCTCTCGGCGCGGCCAGATAATTCCAGTTTTGCGCGTGCCCGTTTTCAGCCACAAGTACACTTAGTAATTGCCTCTTGCGAGTGTTTCCCTTAGTACACGATGCAGCGACTTACTAAGAAAGAGTCATTTCAAACTATCTACAATCTTGGAGGAAAAAAAAATGTCTCTGCAAATTATATACATTTAATTGGCCAGAGAGACCGCCCCACCCCCCCAAAAAATGTTGAAATGGATACTGGCCACAAAGTTAAATACATTTCTCTTAAAAATGAATTTCCTTCGCGATGTAATGGCTAAACCATCTGTGATAAACATGAGTGCTCAGGGTGTCCCCAGTGGCAAACTGTCTATTGCGTTATTAGAAAGCACTCTTGGTGACACGTGGGAGGATCTCACTAGCATATTGTAGATCTTCCTCGAACGCTCTTTTGCTGTGTCCCTCTGTAATCACGTCACCTCCCAAATGGATGGCCGCTCTGAGGGGCTGCCGTGTCGACCGTGTAGAGACAATCCTTGCGGTGGGGCGTGCTTGATGGTGATTTCCTTTCTTCAAGGAGGCAGGGACAACCTCATGTTGCGACTGAAGTTGACTGCACATTGCGATCGCATTGCTTTGGTGTGTGGGTTTTGATTGGCTGACGGCAGAATGGCTTTATTTGAAGTATTGTATTACAGACCACATGTGCTCACTGTTTTTTAGCATTTGTGCCAAACTCCCCAAGGACATCGTGTCCCATCACATACGTTGAGCTACAGTTTGCTGAGAGCAGATACATGAAAAAAGCACCCTTTCCTTAGAGTGTTTTGTGAGGGTCCCCCAGGGGAGCAGGGGTGACATACCCTCCAATCTTCAATGCCAAACAAACAGGGCCGGGTTACTGTTTTATGATCATGTAATGCAAATGTTAACGAGTAACTTCATATTAATATTAGCTAATTATATTATAAAATGGAGGTGAAAGAGAAATAGCATCATGGAGTCTGTTTTAATCTCTAGAACTCAGAATGAAGGGGAAAGAAATTCTAGGGCTTTTCACCTCCAAGTCACTGTAATCTGCACAAAGTGACCTGGGAACCAGCGATGCGACCTTGGCCCAGAGACGAAAATCCATACTTGATTGGGATGCTCTCAGATAATAAAGGGCTGTGGCTTTGATCATCGCGTTGGTACGTCCTACCACGGTCTCCCCATCTACCTATTCTGTGATCTCGATGCTGCTTTAGAGAAATCATTGCCCACCCTCCTTCCTCTGGATTTATGGCAGCCTGATCTGCAGGGGCCTAGATCAGCTATTCTATGAGACTTTCTGGTATTGTCGCCTCGTTTAATCTCAACGCATCCACAGAAACCAGATGCCGCTGGACCAAGTACCTGTGAATAATACTTCCGATCGATCTCCAATTATGTCACGCTATCTCTGCCTTTATGTGTGAGAGTGAGTGGGGGCTTTGCCCTCAGCATCCCTCAGTCTTCAGAGGGGAAAAGATAGAAGGGAAGCCTAGGAGGTGATAAGGGCAAGGAAGAATTAAAACAAATAATAATAATCCTCCTGTCCACTACTTCCCCTAAAATGCCTGCCACGCGGCAGAGGGGGAAAATAAGAATCCCCCCAGCTTGGGATCTCCCATTCACTGAGCTCATCTCATCCTCCTGGGGGAGGCAAGCGATCATAAAACGGACGAACACCATCACACTATACCCACACAGTAGGGGTTCCAGATCATTCTTAAGTAGCTCTTTTTCCGGGTAATTTTCCGTAATCGTCTCAGGCTCGGGACAAAGGTTTCCTTGCCACCTCCCTGCAAGCCAGGCCGCTTTAAGGATTTTCTGATTCGTTATCTCAATTACCCAAGCACAGCCCTGCGCTCCTCTGACTCTGGGGCTGGCCA